CTATTTGCTTAAGAGCCTTTGGAGGCTGACTTTAAAATAAACAATTTCAGAGCTTTCTGTTCTTTTCCACTAATTCTGGGCATAGCTCATGTCTGTGCTTACTCACTCCTTAGAAAAGTAACATCTTTCAGTAGCTTTACTCATCAACTCCTTGAGACACACAGCACCTATCTCTCCTGGCCTGACCATTGACTTTGCATCGTTTTAAAAAGGGAAAAAGAAAATCAATGTGAAGAAATCACAAAGTGACAAATTCCTTTTCAATAAACAAAGAGAAATTTTTAACATTTGAAGTAATTGCCAATGGACAAAACCCCTCTGTTTTCTAACATGGAGGCACTGGAGTTACACTAGCAAGCCTGACCATTTTGCAGGACTGAACAGCAAAGGAGAGAGGAAGACCAGAGTTATGCAGATACTGGATAGTAGGCAAATGAAAGCAAGCCACAGGACTAGGAAACAAACACAGAAGCAGAATTAGAAGCTGACAACTGAAAGTCACCAAGAAAAGACAAGCAAAGATATCATAAAAAGAGGAAGTTAAATATTGAGCCCCTGAACTCAGAGCCATCAGCTATCAACAAGTAAGTGCCCAATGATCTGATGGGAGTCTACCAGACAACACAGAATTGTTTGCATGGGGTTTCCTGCAAGTGCAGCATGTTTGCCTTAATTTATGTTAACAGCACTACTTGGCATCCAATGACAGATCTGGGGATATCACCCTTATATTTAAAATAACAACAACCCCCTGCAATAAATTGTCAAAGTTTTCAGAGCAAAGAGAAAGTTCCACAGCTCGAAACACAAGGCCTATCACACTTACTTTGAGCTTTCCTCCTTCTGTTTTTAATTCTTTTACTTTATTGCTGAGAATTCCACTCTCCTATCTGAAAATTAAGGTCCCACCCAACCAACAAAGTTCAGTTCCATTTAAGTTGTTTCTATGAATCCTTCTTTCTCCAATCACAGTTAATTTACTTCCCTCACTCTCCATCACTAACTTAGGACTTAGATTGTGCTTCTGATCAAAGTATGATGACTAAAGCATAATTTACCATAAAACGACTTAAATGACTGTTGTATATGCATCTGTCGAACGTGATTCTGAGTACTGTATCTGATCTGTCTCCTTATCCTGCAGCACTGCCTCACCTATCACAGTTACCCATAAACATTTTGTCACGTCCGAAAAAATTACAACATTCAAACAATAGAAAGGGACTTGCATGTATCAACTCTAATTTCCTGGAAAACCTGAAATTCTAAGACACGTAGCTTCTTTGTAACTATACTAAGCAACATTATATAATACCTGCCTATGGGCTGGCTGAAAAGAGGAAGAAATTACCAACTGGGATATCAGATGAGAATAAAACTAACTGACTGTCCCAAGATTGGGACTCAGAGTATTAAACTGTGATGCCAAGTTCTAAGGCTATAATCATTACCATATATGTCTACTTATAAGACGTATTCAATTTACACTGAATGAATGAAGAACAAATGAATTAATAAAGTGACTGCTAAAGTGTCACTACAAACATCACAGGCGTGGAGGTCACGTTAATTCTGACAGAGAAGCAAACCAAATCTCTCACCTGTTTTCCAAGATTCATCTTTCCACATGAAAATGAGAATTGTTAAACCAGAATCCTTAAGGCTAAATATTTGCCTTTTTTCGAAGAAATAAAAGCTTATAGCATACATCAAAAAGTCAGACAGCTAAGGAAAACTCAACCATCACCTGGTCCTTCCAAATAAAAACACGTAACCCTCTGCACCGAATCTCAGAGCCTTGCCGTCTGAGAGAGAAGTAAAACAAAGCCAAGTTCACGGGCCATCTGGGACGGCAGGAAGAAAGTCAAGGCCAGGAATGAAGACTTTTCAAATTCAGTAAGCTCTGTCAGAAATCAGAGGATCCAAGATTCAGAACTTCTTGGGTCTCAGTTTCCCCATTTCCGAAAAAAAAAAAAAGGAGGAAATTAATTTAGCAAATTCTTGAAAGGACTGCAACTAGATACATGGCGCCAGAGTTGGACTAAATGATCTCCAAGGTCCCTTTCTGCTCTGAAAATCTTACAAATCTTATAATCACTCTTAGTAGACATTCTTTTGGCTCTGACCTGAAAATCTGGCTGGAAATATAAACAGTCTTCTACATAAAAACACACATTTACCAGCTATAATTTGGACTTGGCAATATGAGGTTTTACCATAGCTAAGAGGAAAATGTGCAAAATTTTCTCCAGTGATCATACCACTTTAGGCTCCATCATGGCTCATATCTCTATGTGGTACACACATGACCAGAGCAGGGCCAAGCCGCTGTCACATCTAAGTCACTACTACACAAGGGGACGGCATGTCCATTTTCTTCTGAACTTATCAACCATCTTCCACGTGAAGAGTCTCAAAAATAACAGGCCTCTCCCTACGAGATTTGTCCTTTCCCATTTGGCAAACTGTATTTTATTTTTTATCCTTCTCCCTTCTGTTTTACAGAGAACATAAGCCAATATGGCAACAGGCGTTTTGTTTATTTCCTTCCTCTTCCAAAACAAAGCCATGGCTTGAGTACATCTAACAGAACAAGGTCCACATGAAAAAAAATTCTTCATAATTTATTGAAAGCCCCATGTTTGAATTTTTTAATGGAATCCACTGGAAAATCCTTGTTATTTTTCTTACGTATTAATAGTTCTCCTAATATAACATCAAAATATTTGTATAGCCCTTTTGGTTTAACACCTTCAAATCTGTCTGTATTTCATTTCCTTGTAAGGGAGGTGTGTGTGTGTGTGTGTGTGTGTGTGTGTATGTATGTGTGTGTATATATATATATATTTGCTTTTTAATTAGAGGAAACTGGGATTCAGCATGCCCTGCTCAAGATCATACAACTAGAATAAGCTGTGCAACTAGTTTGCAATCACAAGTCTTTTGTCACTACTTCAAACAACATTTTCAGAACTAAAGATTTAAAATGCAACAAGATAGTTTCTACGACAATGTAAAAGAGGAAATAGTCAGTGACTTTAAAAATTGTGCATATTAAACAATATGCAAAAAACCAACCTCAACAAAATAAGAGCAAAGGTATATTAAAGGCAACTCTAAGGATTTATTTATCTTATTAAAAAATGACTAAAACTAAGAAAAATCAAATATATTGTTTTTATTTGACAAAGGTTCTATTTGTTGCATAAAATAAATACAAACTTTATAGAACTCTCATTTATTACTGGCATCTGATAGTTAATTTTACTAATGTACACCAAAATAAAATGCAAGAAATTCATGGCATATATTTGCGATACATACATTTTTTAATAGCCTTAAAAGATCTAGACTCCAAATTGAATTGGAAATTATGGGTTACAACTGCAACTTACTAATTTCAAATGATAGATGATATCAAAAGTGCTTTCTATTTCTTCACAACTACTCTGTATGAAAATATACTCCCCAAGAAATCCCTATAGCTCATTCTCTCCTTTCCTTCTTCAAGTCCTTGTTTATGTCTCACCTTGTCACTGCGGCCGTATTGATGAGGTCCACCCTAGGTAAGCAAGACCCCTTCCCTGATTCCCCACTACCCACTCTAATGTACTTTGTAATGTATATATCTTGTTTATTTCCACTAGTTCCGCTAACTTTTACGTTCCCTGAGGACAGAGTGGTGTCTGTCGTTTTTGCTATAACATTCCTAGTGCTTGAATAATGCCCACATAGGAACACAGAATATTTGCTGAGTGAATGAATCATCTCTTTGTTTATCTTCCTCAACCTCAAATTTAGGAGAAAGAAAGGCAGATAATAGAACAAACCATTTAAGCAGTTTTTCCCCAAGACTTTTTCTCTTTTATACTTTTTACTATAGGGTATTTTAAACATATACAAAGGTATATGTTTAAAACACTGTATGCCTATATCAAAATATCTCATGTATGCCATAAATACCATATACCTACTTGTACCTACAAAAATTAAAAAGAAAAAATAATACTGGAAAACAAATGACAAAGTTAATGAGTAATAATTCAGTATATTGGATGTTCCACACATGATAATATTAGATATTTTTTAAAAGGTAGGCTGAATAACAGAATCAACCTCCATGCACCCAACGTTTATCAAATCATAACCAACCTTATTTCACCCACGTTCTCACTCAGTAGTTTCCGACTCTTACTATTTTGAAAAAAGTTACCAGACTCCATTCCATTTTATCTACAAATATTTCCAATGTTTCTCCAAAAGACAAAGGAGACCCATGTTTTTCCGCAGTGTATCTATACTAATAGAGTCACCATCTAAAACTGTAATAATAATTCTATTACTTTATTAGCTTTGCTTCTTGACATGAAGGACTTCTTCAGCTTAAAAGGTGGCAGCTTTCTGCAGGTACCTAGGATCGCAGCTTAAGAACCACTCGTAATGTCACATCCGATTCCAGCCCTGAGTTACTGTGCAATTGCCACTCTCTGGACCCCAACAGTTCTATATAATTGATACATATAATGTGCGCCCTTCAACTTACCCCGAAGAGAAAATCCTAAGGATACTTGATGTTGCTTTTGCTAGAAAAATATTCCTGATCAATAGGATCCACATGAAGCAACTACAGCCTTAAAATGTCAGCCTTACTCATTTGAAGGCAATGTTTGTAACTAGAGAAAATGGCAATAAAAAGACATGTCTGTATGTCCTCCAAATAACAAAGAAATGTAGATTTCTCAGATAGTATTCCTTAAAAAATGGCTTTGGGATTTGAAACAAAATTAGTAGGTAAAAGGATTTCGAGGGCTTCGGAGGGTAAGCCAGCAGAACTCTGGGAAGCTTGAGTCAGGCATGTTCCATTAAAGTACCTTAGATCTCCGGAAGCTGTAAAGCTCTCAACAGGCTCTGGATAAATATTTATCCAGCATAGAAACAACCATGAAATTAATGAGCTTCCTAGGATGGCTTATAAGCATGATTGTAACTGCAGCTCTTACCTGTACCTTGAAAGCCTCTTCATCAAGAGGTGGTGGAGGAGGAAAGTTTCCAGAGATAGATGGAAGGGCACTGGAATCATCTAGAGGTGGAGGTGGGGGTGGAAGAAAATCGCCTACAAAAAAGAAGTACACACGGGAAGTTAATAAGGATGCAATGTTATAGTACTCTTAAGATATATTTGCTGGCATTTTGCTTCTTTATACTTGGTTTTGACACATAATTTTTTGTGTATTGTATAGCAATTATTCCCCATCTTGGTTTCATTAGTAGCCTTAATTAGTAGTCTTAGCTTTCAGAACAAAGAGAACCAGATTTGATATTTAAAAATGGTATAAAAGCTAGTCTAGCGGAGTCAACATATTAAGCAAAGCAAATAATGAGCTTGGATGGGGGATAGGGTTACTGAACTGTATACACTTTGCTGCTTGCCCTCAATACATTTTCAATAAAATTGAGGAGGAAAAAAATATACACAACTAAAGATAATACAAGATGCAATTTATGAAGATGCATGAATAACCCTCTGGAAATTGAGATAAAGTGGAAGGGCATGGAAGTCTCAGTGGATCATATAATTTTCCTGAAACATGATGTAGAGACCACATCCATCCTTGGCAGAAAGACAGGAGAATATAGGCATGGAGATCAGAAAGTTCCAGGCATGGATAATAAAAAGCAAGTCATGACAAAGCAAAAACATTGAACCCAGGAATGTAAAATAATGCCAGTGGGTTATAAAAATTAGATATGTGATAAAATTAAGGTTTTTATGTGTGCTGCCCATCTAAAAAAGGGTTTGAATTTTATCATGCATGCAGCAGGGATCCACCAAGGATTTCTGAGAACACTTGGTTACAATATGATTTACTAAAGACTAATTTAAAAGTCTGTGCAGGACAGATTAGGAGAAATGAATAAGAAACATCCAATTCAGAAATCTATACATAATCCAGGCAAGAAGTAATGAGACTTTGGGTTACTGAGAAAAACCCTGAGAAAAAACAAGCACACTGCTGTTAAAGTTGTGGAGGGAGTGAATCTAATCTCTGTGATCTAAGTTACACACATGTATCCAAGAGCTTATGGTTCCTGGTATGAAACCTTTTCAAATAGTCTGCCAAAAATTGTATTGGGGAAGCAGAAACTTCTACCTTTTAACCTTTTCTCTATTTGTCTTTTCCTATTAAAAATAATGTTTTTGATGTGTTGGAGAAGTGATCTTTTCTATTTATGGATGAGTAGCTTTTCCTTGCATTTCAGTTGCTCAACACTTAGTGGGGTAGAGCAGCAGTCTCCACCATTAAATGACTTGCTTTTGGATATTATCAAAATATCACAGTTTAGGCCTTCAGAAATAGAAGTCTAAGAGTGGAAGTGGGGGCACAGTAGAATGATTGTGTGTGGGTTTTGTTGTTCTGATACACCTTTAAAATGGCTCACTTGGCCTCTATTTGACTTATAAATAACAGTCTTAGAATTGAAAGTGTAGCTAAGCCAAGAACTGTCAGGTCTAGCCCTAAGCCAAATTCAGACTACTAAGCAATCAAAAGCACCATCTCTAGAGCATTCTGCTTACCAGACTCTCTCTATGCCAGGCAGTATGCTAAGATTTTCATACACTGCCACCAAATCATACAACAATCCTCAACGCTGATGGTCCTCAAACTTTAGAGTTCATCAATATCTCTGGAATGTCTTATTAAAATACAGATTTCCAGGTCCCAGATCGAGAGATTCTAATTCAGTATGTCTGGAGAGAAGTCCAATAATTTGCATTTCTAAAAAGATCCTGGGTGATTGATGCCTTTGGGGCTGAGAGCACACTTTAATAACCACTGCATGTTATTAAAGGTTCAATAACTTACATCAGAAAGAATTTCCTATTTTTCTTTTTCTCTGGGTGCACAAATCTGGGGAAGTAATTTGTCCATATCTTTGCGGATTATAAATCTCATAAACCTGTATTCATTCTATTCAGTAGTATTAAAAATTGGTTAAATATCAGAATCACCAAGGAAACACATTTAAAAATGCTGATGTCCAAATTCCAACTCACAGCAATTCAATCAGAATCTTGGGGACCGGAGACAGAGAGTGAGGAGGTCAGGCACCAGTACTCCTATAAAACCTAGGTGATTCTAATGTGCAGCCAGGATTGAGAAACTTTCATTTGGCCACAGACTGAATTAAAAAATGTGTAATGCCTGTTAATTAAAAATAACTGTCAAGAATTCTTTACTGCCTTTAAAAGTCATAATGAATGAAAAGAATGCTCACAATGAGATCTTAGATGACACAGTAAAGGTTTAGGTTGCTGATTACCAACTCAAATTCACAGCCTAATTTCCAGTTCCAAATGTTCTATCGAAACCTATGCTGCATGAGTCTGTTCTCTCACTGCTACAAAGAACTGCCTGATTATGGGTAATTTATAAAGAAAAGAGGTTCAATTGACTCACAGTTCTGCTGCCTTGACAGGAAGCATAGCTAGAGGGCCTCAGGACACTTACAATCACGGTGGAAGGTGAAAGGGAAGCAAGCACTTCTTACATAGCAGCAGGAGAGAGAAAGAGCATGAAGTGGGGACTGCCATACACTTTTAAACCACCAGATCTTGTGAGAACCTACTATCACAAGAACAGCATGGGGGAACCTCCCCTGTATCCAATCACCTCCCACCAAATCCCTCCCTTGACATGTAGGGATTACAATTTGAGATGAAGTTGGGTGGGGACACAGAGCTAAACCAAATCACTATGTCTTCTTCATCCTCACGTTATAAAAGGATTCCTGAACTCCCTTTTATACTTCATCAGGTTTGGTTACATCATGGAAAAATTTCAGAGCATCAGAGAGTATCAGAACTGAACAAAGTCTTGGAGATCACATTATCAAACAGAGGCCCTGGGTGATTGATGTGACTGGGTCTGAGACCACACTTTGAGAACCACAACGTGTTACTCCTGCTTTGGACCCACAAGATTAGAAAGGTTCAATAAACTATGTCATAAAGAAGCTACATGAATAGTCCAAAATTTCCCAACAAATTAGTCTTAAAAAGTACAATTGTCTGTCCCTTGCAAATACATCCTTCTTTACTCTGTTTCTCTAATAGAACTTAGACATAGTGGGGCACAGGCTGACGAGTGTCCTGGGAGGGTCTAAAGGAACAAAAAAGAAAAGTAGAATTTTTTTTTTTAAGAAACAACTTGAAAAGATGGACTCTATATTGAAAGCATGAAAAGGCGGATGATTAAAAGCGCTCGTGATAAGCGCATAATTATCTGCTTTATTTAGATCAATTATTAAGTCAGACCAAAGTTTTCAGTTCTTTAAACCCAACCATCAAAGGGTCCTTACTGCATTCCTCAGAGAGGAGCTCATGTTTTCAGAAGACATAGAGAAATGGGCAAATATCTCGAAAACAGATACAAATATGATAAAAGGAGAAGAAATGGGTCCTTTGGAGAGAGGCATAAACTAACCGATATAGTTTCAATGAAAAAATCCTAATAACTCTGATAAATCAGCCTAAAAGTTTAAGAGAATTCTGACTTAGAACTCATCATTTTTGTAGACAAGTAAACAAGGGAAAATGCCTCTAAGTTATTGTGAAAATAAGTTCAGCTTTAGAGAGAAGGCAGAATTCTCATGTTTAAGAAAAATGGGAAAACGAAAAGAACTATATTTATATGAGTGGAAGAAGGGGGAAGGAGATCTTTTCCATTCTAACAGATTTCTGAAAACAATGAAACAATGAAAGAGCATCGGGCTTTGATTCCTGGGTGGTGACCCTTCTGCAGAAAAGCCCCTGGATCAAATGAGCTGCAATGCCTTCCGGCCAGCATAGCTAAGCTGTAGACCTTCATATTAGTGCCTGCCCTGTCCTCTTTGCCTTGCCTCCCAGATTCTGTGACCTACAGGGAAATTGCAACTCACCTCCCAGACTCTGAGGCGAATAGGCAAGCTTTAGGAAAAAAAAAAAAAAAAAAAGTCATCCGGCAATTGGCAGTAATATATCAAATCTAAAATGGAAACGTTCAGTTTTAGAAATGGTAAAGTGGTTATAGACACGTGCTTTCAGACCTGGTCCCTCCATACTCCACTCATCATCCAAATCCTACCTACATACAAAATATATTTATGCCTCCATTTTCATATAAGACCGTTTATTCAAAGTTACGTAGCTGGTGAAATATAGAGCAGGAAATGGATTCTCACTCTCTTGGAGAGACGCTGAGAAGTTATCTTGCTTGCTTTGCTCCATATGAAACCAAATCATTCAGCTAATATTCAGAAGGCTTTTGCTGTGCGCCAGAGGTAGCACCAAGAAGCAGTTAAACAAGGAGTTGGACAAATCAAGTATTCCATCTCTGATTCCCAAACACTACTTTCTGCCAATTTACTTCAGAAAACAGCCTGTTAGGCATATCGTTAACTCGAAAAGGGAGTGAGGAAAACCTCCAGAGGACCTAGCTATGCATATTTTCTCAAGCTCTCCCTCTTATTTACTCTGCGGCACTGAGAAGCAGGGATGGTTAGCTGGGACCAGCTGAGCCACCCCCACTGTGGTGACCCTAGCACTTGTGACAGTCAGATAGGAAAGGCATCCACCTAATGTGGAGTTTGCTTATCCCTTCATGAAACAAAGGCCCCCATCAGAGGGTGAAGACAGCAAAAATTTACCTGCAAAGTAAGTAAATTACTAGTTGAGGGTAGAAAAACACATGGGAACAATTCAATTCTGATCATCAAGAAAGTTTGGATTGATTTACTGTTGTAGAACAAGAAAACAAACAAAGCATCACTCTCTTCTTCATCTAAATACCCATATAAAACCCACACACACATCCAGAGATTTAGATAGCAGCCCTTTTTGCACCTTATATACAGCTCTATCATTAATACTTGATTGTATTTGTGTGTTATGATCACTCCCTCCTGGTTAGAACTGAAGCTTCTTACAAGTAGAGTCCACTCATGATTTCTCTTTATATACCCATCCCTAGTCACAGGTTTGGGCCAGCACATCCTCAGTAACTGTAGGTTGAATGACTGAAAAAGAAGTCATTCAATTCCTAAATTGATGTTTTAAAAAATGATCTGGATGGCCGGGCGCGGTGGCTCAAGCCTGTAATCCCAGCACTTTGGGAGGCCGAGGCGGGTGGATCATGAGGTCAAGAGATCGAGACCATCCTGGTCAACATTGTGAAATCCCGTCTCTACTACAAATACAAAAATTCAGCTGGGCATGGTGGCATGTGCCTGTAATCCCAGCTACTCAGGAGGCTGAGACAGGAGAATTGCCTGAACCCAGGAGGCGGAGGTTGCGGTGAGCCGAGATCGCGCCATTGCACTCCAGCCTGGGTAACAAGAGCAAAACTCCGTCTCAAAAAAAAAAAAAAAAAATGATCTGGTGTCGGCCAGGTGCAGTGGCTCACGCCTGTAATCCCAGCACTTTGGGAGGCCAAAGAGAGCAATCACAAGGTCAGAAGTTCAAGACCAGCCTGGCCAATATGTTGGAACCCTGTGTCTATAAAAAATACAAAAATTAGTCAGGTGTGATGGAGCACACCTGTAATCCTAGCTACTGAGGAGGCTAAGGCAGGAGAATCTCCAGAACCTAGGTAGTGGAGGTTGCAGTGAGATGAGATTGCACCACTGAACTCCAACCTGGGCAACAGAGCAAAATTCTGTCTCAAAAAAAAAAAAAACCTGGTGCCTTTGACCAGTACTTCTCAAATGTCAATGTTCCAATCATCAGGGAATCTAGATAAAATGCAAACTCTGATTCAGGCCCACACTGGGGCCTGAGATTCTGCATTTCCAACATGCTCTCAGGTGCTGCTGACATAGACTCACGGGCTGCACTGGCAGTGACACGGCTCTAGCTTCCTCTAGCTGGAAGTTATTGCTTCTCCCACTTTGTTGAGGGGAGAATTTTTGGTTGTTGGAGAAAAATCTAAATATTAAGGTAATTTTAAAACCATATAGATACTCCTCAAATTAATCACATTTTAAATGATGAAGTCAAAAGAGTTTGGGTTGGAATACACACACACACACACACACAAGGTGAACAATTTTTAATCAAGGTGAGCAGAGTATAAGCCTCAAGTAAAGACAGTTATTCATTTCCACTAATAGTAACTGGTGGCTGGGCCTGTGGCTCATGCCTGTAACCCCAGTACTTTGGGAGCCCATGGTGGGCAGATCATGAGGTCAAGAGTTCAAGACCAGCCTGGCCAACAGGGTGAAACCCCATCTCTAATAAACATACAAAAATTAGCTGGGTGTGTTGGTGCGTGCCTGTAATCCCAGCCAGTCAAGAGGCTAAGGCAGAAGAATTGCTTAAACCGTAAGGCAGAGGTTGCGTTGAGCAGAGATGGAGCCACTGCATTCCAGCCTGAGTATCTCAAAAAAAGAAAAAAAAAAAAAAGTTTGAAGGGAAAATAGTACAAAATCTTAAACCCAAAAACTTAAAACACAAACCTCAGCTCTACGCTTTACTTCAGGCAAGGCAATTCTATAATCGCAGACTCGGTTTTCCTCACCTATGAAATGAGACAGTCATAGCTACTTCAAGCTGTGAATCAAAGCAGCTAAAATTGTAACTCTGAAACTTTTTTGACCACAACCTAGAGTAAAAAATATATTTTATATAATGAGGTAATACTGCTATCTAGATATGTATATGTACACGTATACTAGAACAAAAGGGTTTCATGAAACCATATCTTCTCTCTCTCTC